ATGGAGCATCCATAAGGCTTAGATTGTCATTGATAGCATGTTTAGAGACCTGGTCACAGCACCTGTAAGGGCTGCACAGGCAGAGAAGAGTTGGGTGACCACCAGGAAAATGAATAAGTGTGGGCAGTCAGTGCAGGATTCCTCTGTGGCCATTCCCCTCTCAAACAGGTATACTGTTTTTTTGGGGGAGGTGGCCTCTCAGGAGAAAGTAGCAGCAACCAGATCAGTTGCAGTACGGCTGGCACTGTTGTACAACAGAGAGGGTTGAAGTATATGTGAGTAGTAGCCATAGTGGACTCCAAAGTCAGGGGCACAGACAGACATTTCTGTGGCTGTAGGCAAGACTTCAGAATCGTGTGTTGCCTTTCTGGTGCCAAGGTCAAGGATATCTCTGAGCTGACACGGGATGCTATGAAGGAGAAGGGTGAGCAGCCAGAGACGGTGGCTGAAAGAGAGATGTTGAAAAGCAGGACGAAATCTGACATCCTAACCTGGTCTGGCCTACATGTGACTCCAGACCCCCAGCAATGTGATTGACTCTTAACTTCGCCCCCTCCCCCCCCAGGCAATTAGGGATGGACAATAAATATTGGCCTAGCTAGGTGCCCACATAGTGTGAATAAATAAAGAAACATTTTTAAAAACTAATCCCTGGGTGAAAGTACTAAATTAGGGGGAAGGTAAACTACCACAATTTGAAGCAGGAACTGTGCAATGTAGACTGGGCAACTGTTTGAGGGTAATTCTACATCTTGCATATAGGAATCTTTTAAAGGCCTGTTGATGAGAGTTTAGGACCAGCATGTTCTTGTGAAAATGCAAGATAAGGATGGCAAGATTCAAGACCTTGGAGTACAAGACAAAATTGTGAACTTAGTCAAAAAGAAAAATGTGGCAAACATAAGGTTTAGGAAATTGAAGACAGACAGAGAGAGGCCTTGAAGAATATAAAGAAGTAGGAACAAATCAAACAAAGAATTAGGACAGCTAAAATGGGCCATGAAATGTCTTTAGCAAATGGGATTAAGAAAAATCCCAAGGCATGTTATACATCTATCAGGAGCAAGAGGGCAAGAAGGGAAAGAGTAGATCCACTCAAGGACAAAGGGAAGAACTTGTATATGGAGCCGGCAAAGTGGGTAAGCTCCTTAATGAATACTTTGCATCAGTATTTACAGAGGAGAAGGACATGGTGGATGGTGACTCTCAGGAGGAGTATGTTGATATTTCAACAGGGCATTTCAATATAAAAAAAGGGGTGATGGTTTTGGGTGTTGACAAGTACCCAAATCCTGATGGAATCTATCCCAGAATGCGGAAGGAGACCGGCGAGGAAACTGCTGGGGCCATGTACAAAATATTTGTACGCTGTTTATTCTCAGAAGAGGTCCCAGAGGACTGAAGAATAGCCAATGTTGTTCTTTTGGTTAAGAAGGGCAGCAGGGATACACTGGGAAATTACAGGCCAGTGAGCTTTATGTCAGTGGCAGGGAAATTATTAGAGAAGATTCTTAAGGATAGGATTTACTGACATTTGGAAAAATACAGACTTATTAGCAACAGGCATTATGGCTTTGTGCAGGGAAAGTTGTGTCTCACAAACTTGATTTGAGTTTTTGAGGAAGTGACAAAGATGATTGATGAGGCTGGACAGTAAATGTTGTCTTTATGGACCTTAGCAAGGCCTTTGACAAGGTCCCTCATGGCTCGCTCGTGGCAGGCTGATACAAAAGGTGAAGTCACCTAGGATCTGTGGTGAGCTGCTAAAATACATACAGAACTGGCTTAGTCATAGAAGACAGAATGTAGTGGGTTTTATGATTGGAGATCTGTGACCAGTGGTGTTCCATAGATATCAGTGCTGAGACCCATGATGTTTCTAATATACATGTATAAATGATTTTGGAGGAGAATGTAGGTGGTCTGATTAATAAGTTTGTGCCATCTGCAAAGATTGGGAGAGCAGTGGACAATAAGAAGGATTGCCAGAGGATACAGCAGGATATACACAGGCTGGAGACACTTGGGCAGAGAAATGGCACAGGGAGTTTAATCCAGACAAATGCGAGGGGATGGATTTTGGAAGGCCTAATGCAGGAGGGAAACAGACAGTAAATGGCAGAACCCTTAGTAGCATCAACATACAGAGGCATCTAGGCATACAGGTCCAGTTTCTCTGAAGTGGCAACATAAGCGCATAAGGTGGTCAAGAAGGAATATGGCATGCTTGTCTTCATCGGTTGGGGCACAGAGTATAAAAATTGGAAAGTCATCTTGTAACTGTATCGAACTTCAGTTTGGCCACAATTTGTACAGTTCTGGTCGCCAGACTGCCAGAAGATTGTGGAGGCTTTGGAGAGGGTAGAGAAAAGGTTTACCAGGATGTTAGACAACAAGGTGCAGGGCTGGATGAACACAGCAGGCCAAGCAGCATCATCATAGGAGGAGCAGATGTTATCTGGTTTTGGAAGGTATTAGCCATGAGGAGAGATTGGATAAACTTGGTTTGTTTTAACCAGAACATTGAAGAATGAGAGGCAACCTGATAGAAGTTTACAAAATTATGAGAGGCGTGGATAGAATGGATAATCGGAGTATTTTTCCCAGGATAGGCATGTCAATTACAAGAGGACGTAGGTTTACGGTAAAAATGGGTAAGTTTAAATGACATGTGAAAAACAAGTTCTTTCACAGAGAGGGTGGTAAATGCCTGGAATGCACTGCCAGAGGTAGTGGTGGAGGCAGATACAATAGCAACAGTTGACAGATATATGAAAAGGCAGGGAGTGGAGGGATATGGACCAAATAGAGGCAAAAGATTTTTTAGTTTAGAAAGGCATCATACTGTGCACAGTCTCAGTGGGCTGAAAGGTCTGTTCTGATTATTTTTTTTCACTACATTAGATTCTATAGGCTTTACCTCACCTATATTGTTGTAGCACAATGCTGCTAGCCCCAAAAAAGAGAGTGCAGTTAAATCAAATTATTTTCAGAATACAATCAAAACCATATTGAAGTATCAGTTGTGGCTCAGTTGGTAGCACTTTCACCTCTGTGTCAGAAATGACTTCAACCAAAATTTAAACACGAATGTCTCGGCTGACATTCTCCAGTGCTGCACTCAGGAAATGTCTCGCGATCAGGGGTGGCCGCTTGCAGATCAGATGTTAAACTTAGGCCCCATCTCCTCTCCTAGGTAGACATAAAAGATCCCTAAAACTATTTCAAGACATCTTTAGGGAGTTATCTCTGGTGTCTTGGATAGTATGGATTGCAGCAGCTCACCACACTTTCTCAAGGACAACAAGGGACAGGCAATAGATGCCGACCAGCCAGTGATAATTACATCCCATGAAAGAATAAAATAAAACAATTTTCCCTCTATCTGCACCAAAAGCAAGATTTCCTGGTGATTATATTACTTTTGTGGGAATATCTGATGTGCAAAATTGCATATCGGTTTCTACACCAAAACAATGACTATTAACTGCTCATTGGCTATGTAGGATGTGGTTGTGAAAGGAGCTATATGCAGACTTCCTTTTTAAGATCAACAACATAATTCGATCTTGTACTTAATCACGCCAGATAAGGACTTTCCCTTTATTCATTCACAGGATGAGGGCATCGCTTTTAAGCAGCATTTATTGCCCATCCTTAATTCCTCAGAGGGCAATTGAGAGTCAACCACATTGCTGTGGGTCTAATGTCACATGTAGGCCAGACCAGGTAAGGATAGCATTTTCCTTCTCTAAAGGATGTTAGTGAACCAGATGGGTTTTTCTGACAATCAGCAACGGATTTATGGTTATCACTAGATTTTTAATTCCAGATATTTTTTATTGAACTCAAATTTCACCATCTGCCATGGCAGGATTTGAACCCAGAACATTATCTTGGCATCTGGATTGATCATCCAGCAATAGGCTGTTGTCTCTCCAGATCAATCTTGCCTATTTCATTTTTTTTTTTAAAAACGAGTTACTTAATTAGCCATACTGTCCTGCTATTTCCCCTTCAATTTTTTTTTGCATGTTCAAATATACATCCACTTCCCTTTTGAAAGTTACTTCCATATCTTTCAAAACCCTTCATTATTTGGGTTTGAGTGTTCAAAGAGCTGAGAATGCATAAGGAATTGATAAAGGAAGAAAACTGCATGTATTTATTAGAACAGTTATGAAGGTCTTGGGATAAACATCAAGTAGGATGCTTCATGGAGAGCCTTTTACCCCCAAAGCTTCTAATTTAATAACTTAGACTCAGAAGCTGTTTAAAATTTATAGACAACAGCAAATTAGATGCAAATCCCGAAACCAAAGTGGCATCTTAGAGCGACCAAAACACAATATGTAGAAGAGAGGACATATCGGGAGATTAAATTAAATATCAACAGTAAGTGATATGCTTACAGGTCAAGCAGCTGATGGGGTGCAACAACATTTTGAAATTTTGATAGGTTTGTGGTTGAAATGTGAAATAAAAAGTCACATGGCAAGTAGAATGCTGAACTGCAAAGCCTAAAGAGCATAGCACAAGAAGAATTCATGTTTAACTTAATGTTGCTCTAGGCAGACTACGAGCCGTTTCTAGTTTTAGTCACTGAGCACAAGGAAGATATCAAAGCCACGGAACAGGAACAGACTGACATCCAGTATCAAAACAAAAAGATGACATAAAAAACAGATTTTTCAGCTTTGAGAAACAGTGTTGGAGGTGTCTTTGAAGATAGCAAATAGAAGCAATAAATATAGATTCATTCAAATCAAACTAGTTGAATTCTTTTTTCCTTAAAGATTGATCAACATTTAGAATGTCGACTTAACAGCAACACTAAATTTAAATAGCCTGAACTGACAGCACATGATGTAGTCATTAATTTCAAGTGAAAAAACATCCATTTATCCTAATATAATTAATATCCTATTAATTGATTATGGGCATGATTAGGTCAAAAGTTCACAAAACAAAATAAATTTAGATGAATTACTCATACTCACATCAATCTTTCTAAATACTTCTGAGTAATCTGTCATGCAAAATCCAACAGGAAATCCCACTTTGGCAGGACTCTTGAAGTTATCACCAATCTTAAATGGAACATCATCAAGATAACTAAAGGCTGCACCTGAAAACAAGCAATTATGCTTATGAGGCTTCTAAACAGAAGGCATGCATCCTTTACAAAAACTGACCAGAATATTTCATTGCAACAAAGGACCTGTTTTACTATATTCATTGTCTTACCAACTAAATGAGGTTATATCATTTTAAGTTTTAAAAGTAGGATTTTGTAAAAATTCATCCTAGTTCCCCAAGAACCTTTTACATGTTTTGTCAAAAACAAATCACATCTCTAATTTGTAACATCAATACTACTGTCACCAACACATTTCAGATTGCAGAAGATATGTTCCTTGTCTTTGAGCTGTTCAAATATTGTGCAAATCTATCACTGCCTTTTTACCTTTTAGAAACATTGCTGACCAATTAAATCAAAATCAACAAGGGGCTAGGTGAGATGCTCTTCCGAGGGTCGGTGTAAACTTGATGGGCCAAATGGCCTCTTTCCACATGGTAAGGATTCTATGAAGTTCTAGTCTACTGCATTTATGTGTTGCAGTATGTATTCCAATTCCAAAGACGGCTGTCAAAGCCTGCACGTGCACAAATGGCCTTGTGATGTCAGCAGTGAATATATAACAGGCACCAGTAAACATCTGCGCACATGCTCATATCAGCACTCGTACATGCGCTATGAACAATTCAGAAGAGAGATAGAAAGAGAGAGAGAGAGAGAGAGAGTGTTCTCAAAAACAATTCCCCAGATTTGACCGTTCCAATAATGGCAAGGCTGTCGGTAATTGCTGGGTTAAACTTACAGGAACTGCTAACATCCACTTGTGCAGCTAAACACTGAAATACAGGAGGTATTGTGGGTGACAGCCTGCTCCTTCACAAGTTGTGCTGTTTTCACTGACAGAATCTGCATGAAGGCACCAATTCTAGGGTAAAAGGGGCCTGTTCTGGAAGATAGGCTTCTCTTGAACAGTCCTGGGACCAGATAGCTGTGGCAAATTGAATAGCTAGGGTTGTAGAGAGGGTTTTAAACTAATGGAGGGGAAGGTTTCTGAAGTTGGTGGTAGTGGGGGGCAAACGTCAGACTTAGAAAGCAAATGGATATGGCAGCATTGCAGAGCCGTTATTTATGTAATGATACTCAGCGTGGGACAGACAGGGACAGAGTGTACAAACACAAAAAAAGCAGGCAATCAGGTCAAAGGGAGAAACAAAGGTTAAAAAGGTGAAACTGATGACTCTTTCAGAACGAAGTAAATTAATTAATGCACAAATATAGGTTGATGAATATGATGTAAAAGTCATTACAGTGACATGGTTACATGGAGCTAAGAACTAAATATTCAAGGATATGTGATTTTTTGAAAAGACAGGCAGGCAAGAAAAGATAGTAGGGTAGCTTTGTTAGAACAAGATGGAATAAAATCGATAGCAAGGGGAAGACGACACTGGTGAGATGCAGTATAGGCCCTGACAATATTTTTGTTTATAGATACAGAATTAATCAGGAGATAATGAGGACATGTGAAAAAGGCAGTACATTACTACAGAGTGTCTTTAACAACATGTAGATTGAGAAAATCAAATTGACAGAGGGAGAATTCAGAGTGTATTCTGGACAGTTTCCGATAACAATATGTTGTAGATCCAAGCAGAGATCAGGCTACTTTGGATCTGGTAATGTTTAATGAGGCAGTATTAATAAATGATCCGAGAGTAAAAGTTCCCCCAGAAAACAGTGACCGTAACATGGTAAAGTTTAACAATCAGTTTGAGAATGAGAAATAAGGATTGGAAACAACTGTGCAAAATTTAAAGGATACAAGAAACGAATGGAACTAAAGAGTAGGTACCCTGGACCTGATGAGCTGCATCTTAGGATTTTAAATGAAGTAGCCAGGGAGATGGTGCATGCTCTGGTAGGGGCAGCATGGTGATTCAGTGGTGAGCACTGCTGCCTCACAGCGCCAGGGATCCGGGTTCAATTCCACCCTCGGGCAACTGTCTGTGTGAGTTTGCACATTCTCCCCATGTCTGTGTGGGTTTCCTCCGGGCGCTCCAGTTTCCTCCCACAGTCCAGAGATGTGCAGGCTAGGTGGCATGGCTATGCTAAATTGCCCGTACTGTTCAGGGATGTTTGGGGAAATGCAGGGGTAAGGGAATGAGTCAGGGTGGGATGCTTTTTGGAAGGGTGGTGTGGACCTTTTGGGCCAAATGGCCTGTTTCCACATTGTAGGGATTCTATGATTTCTATGATACTCTTACAAGAATCTTTTAGATTCTGCAAAAGCCCTTGACGAATGGAAATGAATCAAAGTAACATCCTTATTCAAAAAGGGAGACAGAAAAAGAACAGGTAACTATAGGTCAGTTAGCCTAACAACTGTTATTTGGAAAATGTTACCACCTGTTATAAAGGATGTAATAGAGCATTTAGAAACACACAATATAACCAGTGTCAGCACAGCTCCATAAAAGGGAAATCACGTCTGACAAATTTATTAGAATTCTTTGAGGAGGTAATAAGCAGGATAGATAAGGGGAAAGCAGAGAGTGCAATATATTTGGATTTCCAAAAGCCTTTTGATAAAAGTATCCCACCCCACTCCTGATCAGGCTGTTCAATGACAGGCTAAGGTGTTGGAACAGCATATTAGTATGGATAGAGGATTGGCTAATTAACATCAGATGGAAAATTTGGATGGGATTGGGTCATTTTCAGGATGGCAACCTATACCTAGTGCAGTGCCACATGGATCAGTGTCAGGCCCAGAATTATTTATGAAATATCTTGACAGGGTAAATGCTGACAGGATGTTTCCCATTGTGGCAAAATCTAGGGCCAGAAGACATAACAACAGAGAAAGGGGTGCCAATGTAAGATGGAGATGAGGAGGGTTGAGTGTCTTTGGAACTCCTTGCCACAGAGAGCAGAATGCTTGTGTATATTTAAGGTTGTGAAAGACAGATTCTCAATCAGTAGGGGAATCAAGGGTTATGGGGAAAATGCAGGAAAGTGGACGTGAGGAATGTCAATTTAGCCATGATTCTATTGAGTGGCAGAGCAGGTACACGGGGTCGAATGGCCTACTCCTGTTCTTGTTTCTTCTCGTCTTGTATTAAGTGACTTGGATAAGGAGAGTGAATGTACTGTGACAAAAAGTTTTCAGATGACACAAGAATAGGCAGGAAGGAAAATGCTAAGGATGCCAAAGAATCCACAGAGAGATTTAGACAGGTTAAATGAGTCAGCAAAAACATGATCGATGGCATATAAAGTGGAAAAATGTGAGATTATGGACTTTGGCAGGAAGAATGGGGAGGTGTCAGCTGTGTGGAAAATTAGGAAATCAAAGTTAAAAGGTAAAACTGCAGGTTAGTGAGGAGGTGGATTGTTACCAGAAATGAAGAGGGACAGAACGTGTGACTGCACCAAGGAGTCATACAATTGGGAAATTTGGAGACAGAACAAATTTAAAGACTTTGGATCTGAATGCATGAAGCGCTGAGAATAAAATTAATGAATTAACAGTGCAAATAACGACAAATGGGAATGATTTGGTAGTGATTACTGAAACATAGCTGCAGGGAGACCAGGTCTGGAAATTGAATATCCAAGGGTGCTCAATGTTTTGGAAGGATAGGCAGGAACGAAAAGGAGGTGGTTTCGCTTTGTTGGTAAATGAGGACAGCAATACTGAAATGAGAAATTATACAGGCACTGGAAATAAAAACGTAGAATCAGTCCGAGTAGAAATAAGAAATAGCAAGGGAAAGATGTCCCTATTGGGAATAATCTATAGGTCCCTAAACAGTAATTCTTCAGTGGGATAGTGTAAACTAGGAATTGCTGGTGGCATGTAAGAAAGGCGTGAAATAATCGTGGTTGATTTTAATATGCATATGGACTGGATTAATCAAATTGGCAAGGGTAGCTTTGAGGGAGAGTTCATGGAATGTATTAGACATTGTTATCAGAGATTGCAAGATATTGTGGAACCAACCAGAGAGCAGGCTATTCTGGATTTGATATTTGTAATGCTTTGGGATTAATAAATAATCCTCAAGAAAAGTTGATCATAGCATGCCAGAATTGCAAATTCGATGAGAGCGAAAGAAATTGGAGTCCCACACTTACATTCTGAAGTTTAAAAAAAAGGTAATTTTATTTCGGCATGAGGACAGATTTGTTTCTGATAACAATAGATAATAGAGAAAATCCATACAAAATTCACAATAATATCCTTGACTTTAGATAACTTCAGTGAATAGTGATATAATTGTTTCAATTAAGATGTGTTTTGAGGATTCTGTAAAGAGGAAATTATGTGCTGACATTAACTCAGAAGGATACCTTGTTCCTACAAATCATTTGACAGTTATGATTTATCTCTCACATGAAATCACAAAGGTTACCTGCCTTTAAGACAGCTGAAATGTGGTGGAGCAACTGGCAGATAGCTGATGTATAATTCAATTAATTATAGCTTTAAAAATAATTGTGAACAAGTGGGGCAGCTAGCAGTACTGCTTCACAGCACCAGGGACCCAGGTTCGATTCCAGCCTTGGGCAACTGTTCGTGTGGAGTTTGCATATTCTCCCCCTGTCTGAGTGGGTTTCCTCCGGGTGCTGTGGTGTCCTCCCTCAGTCCAAAGATGTGCAGGTTAGAGGGATTGGCCATGCTAAATTGACCATAGTGTCCACAGATGTGCAGGCTAGGTGGCCTGGACATGGGAAATGTATAGTTACAGGGACTAGGTAGTGGGGTGGGTCTGGGTGGGATGCTCTTCGGAGGGTCGTTGTGGACTCAATGGGCCAAATGGCCTACTTCCACACTATAGGGGTTCTATGATTCTAACTTTGTTAAGCCAGCTCCATACAGTCCAGAACATCTTTATCTATGACCTTGTATAAATTAATTTTCTGTCCTGTTGAAGTGATACAATCTATTCTTAGGAGAAAATGAAGTCAGAAGTCAAAGCAGCGGCACTGTGAAAGCTTGGTGATTTCAAATAAACCTGCTGGACTATAACCTGCTGTTGTCTGACTTCTGACGTTGTCCAACCGAGTCCTACACCAGCACCTCCGCATCATGAGAAAATTAAAGATGACTCCTCTGCACTTCAGTAACGTCAAAATAGGAGGCATTGACTTTGAAGTTGACTTTTAAAATTACAAAAAAAAAAATCTTTTCTCTAAAGTTAATTTTGAAACAATCATAAATTTCATTCTCATGAAATTCCAATGATTAGTAAAGCAAATTCAGGTACTTTAATAAAATAACATTTTAGCTCCATTTAAAATCATTTGTTGATACTGAGGTTTCTTTATTTTTTAAACTGACCAGTGAATATCTAATTCTAAAACAATAACCTACATAACCTGAATAATGGATTCATGAAGGGAATTTTCAAATGTTGAATTAATAAAGTACGAATTTGTTCCAAAGATTAACAAATTCATGAAAACAGTGTTGAGTACATGGAATGTCTGCATTTTTTCAATCACATTTTATTCAATAAACATTCAAACTGACGAATGTCAAAAGGCCCATTGATAATGAAAAAGAAACATTTAATAATTCATGTCCAATTTATAACAATCTTCAATGCTTTATTGATGCACAATTTTTCTCTTTCATGTCTACAATTTGTTCAAAATTCCCTTAACATCTTCATTCTTAAAATAGTAGTTTCCCCATAATAATGCATTCACAATTTTTTTTTTTTTTTATAAACAGGTACATCCAAACTTTCCAACTTTCTTGTCAATTCAAATGTATTGCATGGAACCCTTGAGTGACACATAAATTATTCTAAGAATTTCATCTGTTTCATAAAGAGCTAACAAAAAGACATTTAGCACGCTTGCCCTCATTGCCCAGTCCTTTGAGTATAGGAGTTGGGAAGTCATGCCCTTTGCTGGAGTAGTGTGTCCAGTTCTGGTCGCCCAGTTAAGGGAAGGATATTATTAGCTAGAGAGAGTTCAGAAAAGATTTACCAGAATGCTCCCAGGTATGGAAGGTTTGAGTTATAAAGAAAGGCTGCATTGGCTGTGACTGTTTTCACTGGAGCATAGGAGGTTGAGAGGTAACCTTATAGAAATTTATAAAATCAGGAGGGGTATAGATAGGGTTAATGGTAGGTGTCTTTTCCCTAGGATAGGGATTTCAAGACTAGAGGCCACGTTTTAAGGTGAGAGAGATTTAGAAATGACATGAGGGGCAATTTTTTTTTTTTTTTTTTTTACACAAAGGGTGGTTAGCATGTGGAATGAACTTCCTGAGGAAATGATGGATGTGTGCTCAATTACAACACTTAAAAGACATTTCCATAAGTACATGAATAGGAAAGGTTTGGAGGGATATGGGCCATGAACAGGCAGGTAGGACTAGTTTTGTTTGGGATTATGTTCGGCATGGACTGGAAGGAGCAAAGAGTCTGTTTCTGTGCTGTATGACACTATGATGTAATAAAGTAGTCATGTTTTGCTCCCAATTTTCTCATTTTGCTGAAATTGTATTTAGATTTCTAAATATGAAGAGCCTTCAAAGAAAATAAATCAAGACATTTTAATGATGCACAGACACAGAATTATAGGACTTAAGAGGAGTAGGTTCTTCAGTCCTTTCAGTATGCTCCACCATCCAATAAGACCATGGCTCATCTTATTATAGTCTCAACTCCAAGCTCTTGTCTGCCCTTCATAAACCTGGACTCCTTTATCGATCAAAATACTCACTTACCCTTGAATAAATTCAAAGACCCACCCTCCACTGCACTCTGCAAAAGAAAATGTCACAGACTAAAACGCTTCTCAGAGAAAAATATTTCACCACAGCTCTATCTTAAAAGGGAGACCTCTTATTCTTAAACCATGTTCCCTAGTTCCATTTTCCTCCAGGAGAGCAAACATCCTCCCAACATTAATACAATCAAGTGTCCTCTTATAAATTTCAATAAAATCAACTCTTATTTATCTGAACTCTGATTTTTCAAACAAAGGTGACCAAAATGTACTCTAGATGTGATTTCACAAAGGCCCTGTACAACTGCAGCAAAACTTCCCTACTTTTATGAAGAAAGATCAGAGTTAACATTTCGGGTCCAGTAATCCTTTGTCAGAACTCCCCAGGGTTAACATTTTGGGTCACCAGAACCAACACGTTAACTCTGCTCTTTCTTCACAGATGCTGCCAAATCTGCTGAGCTTTTCCAGCAACTTCTGGGTTTTTGTTCTGATATACAGCATCCACAGTCCTTTCTGTTTTTCCCTACTGTTATATTCCATTCCCTTTGCCATAAATGCCAGCATCCTGTTGCTTTCCTAATTATTGTGTCTCATGTACCAGGACACCAGATCCCTCTGCACAATGAATTGTGCAATCTCTCTCCATTTAAAGAATATACTGCTTTTCTATTCTTCGTGCCAAAGTGGACAAATTCATATTTACCCACATTATTATCCTGCCAAATTTTTGTCCATTTACTTAACCAATCTGTATCATTTTTGTAGACTTTTTAACTTCATCTTGACAACTTACTTTGCTATCTGTCTTGATTCATCGGCAAAAGTAGCTACCATGCATTCATTCCAGTCATTAATATAAATTGTAAATATTTGATCCCCTGTGGCACTCCACCAAATGCATTAATTGCTTACCATTAATGCTGTGGTGAAGTGGTGGCAGATGTACAGGAGGCTGCTGGGGATGAAAAACCAATGTAACTTATCAAGGACAGGGGCGAAAAGTATCAGTGTGGGATGTAACATAGGCAATATTGTTCAAAAGACTAACGTCATGATGGGTTCAGTGTACAAGGACAGCAATAGTCAATTATAAAAGTGTCAGAGGTATGTAACAAACAGCAGATGGACTGAAATTAGGGTGTAGCTTTATTTTATTCATTCACACAATGTGGGTGTCACTAGTCACGCCAGCATTTATTACCCATCCATAATTTCCCAGAGGGCAGCTCAGTGTCAACCATATTGCTGTGGGTGTGGAGTTATATGTAGGCCAGAGCAGGTAAGGACAGCAGATTCCTCTCCTAAAGGAGATTAGTAAACGAGATGGTTTTTACAACAATCAGCAACGGCTTTGTAGTCATTATAAGACTCTTAATTCCAGATACTTATTGAATTCAAACTCTGCCATGGCAGGATTCAAACCCAGGTCCCCATAACATTAACAGGGTCTGTGGATTAATTATCTAGCTTAATTTCATTATACAAAGAACATAAAAGAATGAAAAAGGTGCAACATTGTTGTCCAAGATGGAATTATAAGTGAGGTCTAAGAAGAGATTTGAGATGTTAGCGTTTTTTAACTACAGCTGAGATATTAAAATGCTTCCACCACTTGGCAAGATGGTAAGATGAGGCAAAAATCTAATAGAGCACTGGGAACTATTAATACTGAACAGTTAATTGATACTTCATTTAAATTATGAGAAGACAACTAACTGTCTGTTAAAACAATGAATGCAATTTATACACCTACCAGAGTTCTGAAAATCTGATCCTGATTTCCTAGAGGCCATTTAGAATCTAGAAAAAGGAAAGTAATGCTGATTAATCACCAAAAATGATGGAGGTGGCATATCCAACAGACACTACATTAAATAAAAACAGAAACTGGAGAATCTTAGCAGATGTGGCAGCATCTGCGGGAAGAAAGCAGAATTAACATTTCAAATCCGGTGACTATTCAACTGTGTTTTCTTCCCACAGATGCTGCCACACCTGCTGAATTTCTCCAGCAATTTTTGTTTTTCTTTCAGATCTCCAGCATCCGCAGTTCTTTGTTGTGTTGTAGACACTAAATTACAGACGACATTGAATTTAAGATTCTAATTTTGCATCTATGATAGTAATATTGTTATGACAGACTGAATACGACACTGGCAACGGCACAAATTTGCTAAGATAATTACTGTTAAAGAAAATATTGTACTATTTTGGCTACAAGGTCCATCTACCAGCTTTGGTGCTGTTGTACATTGTGCCAACCCAAGTATGATTGTTGAAGCCAATAATATGCATGTTTTTTAAAGTGCCCTTAACGTAGCATCCCAAGATGCTTCACAGGAGTAAATTGATAGCAAGCCAAATAAAAAGATATTAGGATCAGTGACCAATATCTTGTTCAAATAATTAGATTTTTTTAAAAGAATACATAGTTAGAGAAATGCAAAGTTTAGGGAGAGAATTCAAGATCTTTGGGCCTCACTTAAAGACAATTTTGGGGTGCTGCAGAGAGAAGGGAGTGAAACCATGGAGAAATTTGAAAACATAGACCAGAAATTAAAACTGTAATGTTGCTTATTCATTATGGCCGCCAACGTACCAGCTCAAACTTTGGCTACAAAGGACGACCAAGAAACTAATATGGAAAGAAGAACAGAATATAAATGCAATCTATCAAAAAACGTAAAAACAGGCTGTAAAAGCTTCTATAGGTAAGTGAAAAGGAAACATTTGCTGTGGGATGGCATGGTCATTCAGTGGTTAGCACTGCTGCCTCACAGCACCAGGGCTACAGGTTCAATTTCACCCTCGGACAACTGTCTATGTGGAGTTTGCTTATTCTCCTCATGTCTGCATGGAGTTCCTCCTGGTGCTCTGGTTCCTCCCACAGTCCAAAGATGTGCAAGTTAGGTGGATTAGCCATGCTAAACTGCCCCGTAGAGTCCAGGGATACACAGACTAGGTGGATTAGCCATAAGAAACGAAGGCTTACAGGGACAGGGTAGTGGGGTAGGGCTGGGTGGGATGCTCTTTGGAGGATCGGTGTGGACTCGATAGGCCAAATGGCCTGTTTCCACACTATAGCGATTCCATGATTCAAGATGAACATGGGTCCATTACAGGCATAGTCTACAGAATTTATAATAGAGGAAAACAGAAGTAGCAGAGAAGCTAAATGGTTACTTTGTATTTGTTTTCACAGAGGAAGATACAAGAAATATCTCAGAATCAGAGATCCAAATGACTAGGAAGAATAACAGGGTTAGAATTAAAAGATTGTTACCAAAGAAACTAAATGGGCTGAAAATTGCTAAATCCTCAGGACTTGACAGTCTACAGCCAAGAGTGTTAATTGAGGGGCCTATATGTGATCATTGGTGAAAATTCTGTAGATTCTGGAATGATTCTTGCAATTTGGAAGCTAGAAAATATCACCCTACTATTTAAAAAGGGAGCAAGAGAGAAAACAGGGAAGCACAGACCTGTTAGAATTATATCAGTAGTAGGAAAAATCTAGAATCTACCATAAAAGATGTGGTAAGTATACACATGGATAATAATGATCTCATTGGGCATAGTCAGTATGGATTTGTAAATAGGAAAACGTGTTTGAGTTTTTTGAGGATGTTATTAACAACATTAATAAAACGGAGTTGATGGAAATATCAGGCTTGGATTTTCAGAAGAATTTTGAGAAGGTCCCCCACAGGAGGTTGGTAAACAAAATTACAGCACATGGAGCTAGGAGGTAATGTCGTGCCATGGATTAAGAATTGGCTAATAGGCAAAAAACAGTAGTTATAAATGGGTCATTCTTGTGTTAGCAAGCTATGACTGGTGGGGTACCACAAGAATTAGTACTTCCACCTCAGCTGTTCATGTATATCAATGATTTGGAGGTGGAAACCAAAGGTAATATTTCTAAATTTGCAGATGATACAAAGCTACGTAGGAATATGTGTTGTGAGGAAGATGTAAATCAGGAGGATTTGGAATCAAGAAGAAATTGGCAGATGGAATCTAATGTGGAAAATTGTGAGGTTATCCACTTTTGGTGGGAGGAACAGATGAGCAGAATATTCCTTAAGCAGTGAGCAGTTGGAAAGTGTATATGCACAAAGAGACCTGGGTATCCCTGTCAAAAAGTTACTGAAGGTTAACATGTACACGCAGCAAGTCACTTATCACAACGGGATTTGAGTACAGGAGTCATGAACTCTTGTTTCAATTGTATACAAGCTTAGTTAGATCAAAGAAGAGTCATATTGGGCTCAAAACATTAACTTTACTTCTCTCTCCATAGATGCTGCCAGACTAGCCGAGTTTCTCCAGCACTTCGTTTTTTCTTTGGTTCTAGTTCTGACAGTTACTAGAAAATATGATAGATTTGGTCGGGAACAGAGTTCACAGGGGGAATTGAAGACAATTTATTTGTTCTTCTCAAAACTTAGATGGAGAAAATTTCACCTGCTCATCCATTAGTAGATGACAGATTAGCAATCTAACAATTTGAAGTGGAGGAGTCAGGGCACTTGGTGTCAGTGAGATACAGCTTGATGATATGTACATATTTATGGGCTCTGGGTGATGTCACTCAGAAGCAGTGTGCAGGTGAGAACATGCAGGCGGGGTTGTGGTTGGGAAAAGGTAAGATTCTTGAGTAGACCAGGAGTAACAGTACAGGAATGGGAGGAGAATTGATTGAACATCATTTTTTTGTTACAACTTGATAGATTAGAATAAAACCAGGATTCTTCAGTCCAACCCACTGCATGACAATGGAGATGTTGGAAGAGGGTGGTGTGGTCAACTGTCTCAAAGTGAATAGAGAAGGACAAGGAGGAATAGTTTATCCTCATCGCAGTCACATGGAATGATAAAATACATTTTGGTAACTTGGCAAGTGCAGAAATAACATTTTACATTCCAACATGATAAAATGTATGTGAAGCATTATGATATTTACAGACATACACACCACCCTGCCCAACTTATTAACTTTGCTATTCAATAAACATTCAGACAAACAACAGGAAATTGCATTCAATGGTGAAAGGTCCTTCTAAACCATTACAGAAGCTCAACTGAATAAAGCACTTGACTCACTTTGGCTTCTTGGGTCCATTTTTCATTTGTTATTTCATTAACCTCTGAGCCTCCTTCCAATCAGACATGAGGAATTTGAGGGTATCACAGACCTGCCCATACTGCCAATTTAATCTCTAGTTAAAGATGCTTCACCTTTCCCAGTGACTTGTATCAATCTTATAAATACTGCAACAGGGTTTGAACTAGCAATACCCCACAACATTTCAATTTCTTATCACTCTTCTTCATCATAGCCTCCATGCATCATTTCCGACTCATCAGTTTGCTGTCCCTCTCACCTACTTCCTCACCTTTACTGGCTCTATGGCATATATTACGTACGAGCTACTTTAAATTTGAGCTGCTGTTTTCATTCAAAGGCAAGGGAAAGCATGAGAGGAAAAAAGTAGGTCTGGGAGGAAGCATCGTGACTGTGATGGAAGGCTGATATACAGGAAGTCTGCGGTAAAGTGAGAAAAAAGACACACAAGCATCTATCTGGTCAATCTTGCTATGAATGACTATCTTTTTCTAAGCATGCAAGGAGTTGGCTGAAACATAATTTTGAGACACTTGGGGGAAGGAGGTTGACACAAACAATGATTGCTGAAAATGGCTGGAAGAAGGGTGATGAATGAGTACAGAAAGGAAGTATATATGCAAGATTAATGAAGCAATAATTTTTGCCAGAGCCTG